TGCCTAAGCTAAAGAGTCCCTTGACACTTGGTCATTCAGCTGCTCAATACATGAACAACATTCTTCATTCTTCCTAATTGCTGAACAAAAGTACTGTTGTATTATGAGGTAGAATTCACATGCTGTTGTCTCAGTATCTAGGTTTTGACATTTAAATGTCAGCTGACCAAACTAAGTCACTTCAAATTCTGTGGTACGACGAAGAAGCCTTCACACTGTGATTCACCTTGTCTTCAAATAGTTATATTATGCAGCATAGAGTGAATTGCTTGATCAGTTGAAAGTTGGAGACTATATTACTCCTGTATGAAGAATGCTATAGAATCAAACCCATTTCTTCATAACATCATTTAAGATACACGGTGGACAAGCTTTAAACAAGTCAATATTTTAATCATGGGAGTGCCTTACTTTATCTGAATATAATTTTAAGTAACTTTTTCTTACAAAACATAGAACTTGATTAGCAGAGTCATACAGTATAATCCTGCACAACTAGAAATATTACGTACTTTTAAAAAAAGAATGGCCCCTTTTATAAAGCCCCCCTTTAACAAAGCTGTAATTTCTACAATAAAGGAAATGTATCAGTCTCTAAGACTGAAATATATAAGGTATCCAAGTAGTGTTACTGGTTCAGAACCCTACAAATAGGGTTTATACATTGATTTAGTCCACTTACCAGGATAGTCCTCTACCACCACTCCAGAACACCAACTCAAATCATGTTCAAGTAAACAACGGATACAGTTATTTATAGTTATTAGGAAAGGTGGCATTAAAAATAACAATTTAAAAAAGGAAATAAATGCCTTTAGAAACATTATTAAATTACTGATTATTTGTATTCTGACTCATCAGTCATTTCCACCTGTTCTAGGATCTATTGGTAAACCTTCCATTTGGTAGAGCACAATCTTTACCAGAAGGGGAAGTATAATCTCTATCTTCACTGTCAAATTTAGGAACCTGTTTGAATCAGTGATTTTCCAATGCTTAATTTAAGATTCTGTCATTTATAAGAAGTCTTGGAGTTTTTCAGTAGAAATTACAGGATTCTGAAAGCTGCTCTGAACAACATGAAAGGTGGTGTTTTTTTTGGTTTTTTTTTTTTTTTTTTGGTAATCTATGTGACTTCCCTGTAGGATCTAACGATTTTATATAATACGCAAGTAAAAGAATAATAAAAAATGAACAGAATCATAGGAAGAAAATGGTTGTTTCTTCTAATGCTTATAAGCATGTTTATACAAAACACAGTGTTCAGTAATGAAATTCAGTAATTCCCTTTCGTGGATTATACAGTTTAGTAACTGATACAGCAGATATGAGCTATCATTTACAAGAAGATGCCATCTGCTGAGCAAACATGCAATCAGCAGGCACTTCCTATTACACTGGAATTTTTTTGTCCTTTATTGATTTTCTCCCTTGCATTTCTAAAGCCCCTCAAGCAATCTGAGCCCGCGTAGCAAATGAAGAAAGCAAAGGACTTCTCAATGACCCCAATATCAATTCTGCTTTGTACTTTATGCTGTCTCAAGGCTATGGACCTCATAGGTTAGTTCAAGCAAAAGAGAGAGAAAATAGTACGTACAGTGCATGCGGGTGTATAGTTCGAAGGCAACTGCGTAGAAATGGCACCCTAAGCTTTGAGATTAAAAATATTTCAAAGAAGCATTACAATATTAAACATACTTCAATACAAGCATTAAATTTTTCACCTCAATGCGATTTAATTGTTGCTGCGTAATATTTCCTTTTTTTTTTTCCAACCTGTTGTTTAGTTTGCTTTTGCTCTTTATCTATCTCATGAACTCTCTGATCCAAATAGGAGATCTTGTGGAGAATTTATGCATAAATAGATGTGTTAGTATTCAAAAGCTATTGTTCTATGTTTATAGAAAAAAATATTTGTCAGTAAATGCTGTAACAGTTACCATTCTTAAGCCTACTTTTGTTTTCCCTTCCATACCCATTTTTCCATCATGTAGGTTTTTATACTCTATGCTTTGATGAAAAAATGCACTTCTAAAATAGAAATACCTCTGCTACTTCATATAGTCTTTTTCATCTTACAGAAAAAAAAATAGATTAAAAAAATTCTCTGCTTACATTGCTCCCTATGCTTCTTTATTTTCTTTCTGCAAAGAAAGTTAGAAATAAAGTTCTGAAATCAATATATGTATTTGGAATAGCTTCCATGGAATGTGTACAAAGGGTAAATTAAATATGTATTATTATTATCACTACCTCATGCAAAATACAGCTAAGGACGGCTAACAAGAGGAGGAAAAAGAAAAAAAATATTACGATATTGTCGTGGTTTTGCCCCTCAGCCCAACCCTGGGGCTGATGATGGTTTTGTCCAGGTAATTTCCGGACAAAAAGACCAATCAAAAGTCCAGAAACGCCTTTGCTAATTACATCTTCAAGAAAACGGAAGAGAAGGTTGTTGGCGCAGTTGGAATTAGAGCAGCAGCCATGTAAGGGAGAGGAGTAGCGGCCCGAAGCAGGGCCAGACTCCCTCCTCCCCCGGCTTGGGCCGGGGGGGGAGCAGGTGCAGCACTGAAGTCCTCCCTTCTCTCTTGTAAGAGAGTGAAGAAAAAAAGTTTAAAAGATGGACTGCTTGAACAGAAACTGCTGTGGAAGA